GAGGGCACGAGTAAACCCTGTTACAAGTGGGGATTAAGTGAATGTTTACACATCTAATGCTGAGGCTGTTAGTCTTCTTTCATCGCTCAGCTCCCAGAATGCTGGCAACCAGACAGGAAATTGGAAGACTTCTCTCTGGGGAATCTGTCTAGCCTAACAGGAATGCCCCAGACATTGAGAGTAGTAATTTCCCAATGAAAGTCCCAGATAAATCATCTGGGACTCAGGGCTTCCATTCAGTTTTTACTCCTCCACCCTTATATATAATATAAGCAGGAAACCAAGGGTCACCACATATCTGAGGAAAGCCTCTAACGTGAAAGCAGCCAAAACAAATAGGAAAAAGCATATGGAGAAAATAGATAATGCCAAGAAAAGAAAAGTTTTTTTTTTAAATCTATCGTATCCTCAGAGATAAGATTAAGATATTGTCTCCATGAAATCTTATTAAAAAATAAATATTCCAGAAAATAGAGCAAAGGGGAAAAGAGATAAGATTCAAAAGCCAGTCTAGGAAGGAAAACAGTCAAATAACAGGAGTTCCAGTAGAAACAGAGAAAATGGAGAGGGGACAAGATTGATAGTGAAACAATTTCAAGAAGAATCCCCAGAACTGAAGGATCTAAGCTTCCAAAATGAAAGGATCCAGAAATGCGTGACACAACGGACAAAATAAATCCTTACCAAGGCCCATCATTGTGAAATTTTAAAACACCAGGAGGAGAAGCTTTAATAAGATTCCCCAGAGAGAGAAAATTTAAAAGAAAAAAAGAAGTGATACCCAAAAGATCAATAATTTAAATGTTGGCCTTCTCAATAGAAATATTGAACTATAAACAATGGAGCAAACTTCAACTCTATCCTGAAGGAAAATTATTTCCAATCTAAAATTCTGCACCCAGCCCACCTGGTCACATAAGAGGCTATATAAGAGATATTTGGGACATGCAGACTCTCAACAAAATATTACCTCCAATATATTCTTTCTCAGAAAGCTACTAAAAGGCATATTCTACCAAAATGCAGGAGCACACCAAGAAACACGAAAATAGAGGATGGTTGTGAGAAGCCAATCCAGATTAGAGTAAATCTGCTTCAGAAGGACTTATGTAAGAAGAAGAAATTCATGTCTAATGTGAATAAATGTTTTGAGAGATTTGGTTAATTGCCAGAGTTTGAAGTTGAGATTGAGATCAGTATATTAAAAACTAAGCAAGGGCCGGCCGAGTGGCACAATGGTTAAGAACTGGCTTGGGATGCCAGAGGGCCCCGGTTCGGATCCCACATAAGAGGGCCAGTGACACTGCCCTCTACAGCTAAGATGCTGAACAACAGCTCAACCTGGAGCTGGGCTTCCGTGAGTCGTTGGCGACGGCGTAGGCTGCAGCCCCTGTGGCAGTGGGTTGCCATGGGCTACCGTATGTAGCCA